TCCGGTTTCTTTCACACCTATTTACATGGACACCTTGGCCAATGGTAATCACTTCCAGCTCCAGCCTGGGAAGAGCCTGGACCACCGGCGGGGAGCGGGACGAGCTGGCCAAGGTGCTCCCTGTGAAGGTATGAGGCGGAGGCGGCGGCAGCGGAGCTGGGATTCAGGCGACCACTCACGATCACAGACCGAGCTGCCGCGAGGATGATGTTTGACATGGAAATCGCTGGGCCGGGGTGTTTTGTTTCCTCCGCATTGTATCGGTTTGTATTGTTAGCTAACTTCAGGCGCGGCTTCCCCTGAAGCTGACTTTTTTCCTGCGCTTGGCATTACCCAGGGCGGGTTGCATGGGTTATGATAATGAAAATACGACCTCCCCCCCCCCCCCCCCGCCACAATTCTCCAAGAGGCAGGTCAGAGTTGGATTTGACCTTCCTAGGCTGCTGCCTTCGCTCTGCACAGTGTGTGTGTAGCTTTAAGTGGTGGGTTTAAAGAACACTTAGAAAAACATAGTGGGGCAGCTCCATAAGAGCTCGTTTTGAACCTAACTGTATTGACACACACACACACACAATTTTTTTTTTTTAGATTAAAATAGTGTATCTGGGCGAAGAGGCTAGGTCTTCACTCTAAAAGTTCTCGGGGATTTGATTAGACACGGGATGAAGGCTCCAGGGCTGTTGGGACAGACGGTGTGCAGACCTGGGAGGGCCCGCGTGTGTTTGACACACTTTGTCACCAGATGAACTGCAGTCTCTTGCTTTTCCCCGGTGGTTTGAAATGTTGGTAGTTAGGTGTTGCCTGGAAGTTTGCATTTTACAGCTGGAACTTTCCCTCTCTCCCCCCTGATTTTTGCATAAAGAGAACTTATTTAGGGTTTGGAGAGGCCGGCAAAAGCTGCCTGGGCCCTGCTGAAACAGCTGTGCCTTCTAGGCTCGAAAAGACCAGAGAGCTTAACTTCCTTTTGAGAGAGGAGAGGGTGGGGTATGCCTTGGGTCACCCGGTCTGGTGCAGGGGGACAGGCTCCCTACCGTTCAGATTCATCTTGGGAGGGTCAATGAGCTGTTATTATTATTATTATTATTATTATTACCACCGCTGTGCTTGTCGCCATCATTGTCAGATTGGTATGAAATAGTGAGTCGACCCACTGGCTTGCAGGAAGTCTAAGAGTAGATTCTAGGAGCTCCCACTGGTGTCTGCATATGCTTCCACCTATATGGTTTTTAAAAGAGATTTATTTTATCATGTTGTTAAAAACTCAAAACCTGCAGCCCTCACTGAATCATCTTCAGTCGGAAATGTGAGAATGTTTCTTTTTCTTTTTCGGAGGAGGAGGAGGAAGAGGAGGAGGTAGGAGAGTTCTGGGTGTGAACTTTTGATACTGTTAGTGATATTAGCATGATCAGTGGAGCTATTATATGGGGGTTATTATATATATTTTTATACATGTGTGTATATATATACATATATATATTCTTCCAGCTTGCGTGCGCACACACACAAGCACATACAAACACACCTACATTAACCACAGTCTCAGAGTTGGTCAATAACTCACCAAAACGTAACTTAAACACGATGAATTTAGGAGATTAAACAATTTCATTAATATTGAAATGGCTCTCCTGTCTGGGCTGCCTCGCTTGAGATGCAAGCGCACGTTTTTCAATATTAACAGAAGTGCTTGAAGGAAAGAATAATGTCACCTTCTTAATTCGGAAGAAATAACCAGGAGGAGGAGGTGGGTGGGAGGGGTGAGGGAGGGATGCTGACCTGTCTCTGGGGGCAGATCA